GTAAATTTTCTATAAGATGTTGTGATGATTTTGTACTACGTCAATTTTATATTTAAACAATCTAAACATCTTTTCCATCTTCATACTTTGAATTTTTGTTAATAAAATTTTTATAATACTGATGAATTTATTATTGGTGAATCCAATAGGCTATTTTCACTTGCAAGCATATTGCTATCTATATTTCGTGTGAAATCCGATTGCACTACTGCTTGACATCATACTGCTATTAGGCATTTAGAAACCTAGAACTTATTGGTGAAATTTTACAGCTTTAATCACTTCTTAACATGCGAGCCCCAATTTCTAAATGACATTGAAATTTTACATAAATGAAATAGAAGTCCCATAGTCCATTCTGGGTTTTCGTAAAACAACTTTAGAGCCAGAGCAGATTTTTTTGCTGCCAACGATATATATGATATGTTTAATCCATTTAGCAACATTATTAGTGAAAAAAAACATCATATACAAACCCTATCTCAAACTGGACCAATTTAAGGGATGGTTTTTTATGGTTGCCATTACCTCCCATATGGACACTTGAAGTCGTAGTCACTTCGGCTAAGCGATTATTATAACAAAGTGTTACAAGTAGTACTAAGTTTTTACTATAAACTTTTTAATAATTGCTTTCACAGATTTACTGAACATATTAAAGTATAACTCCAATATAACTCAACGAAATTAGATTTAAACTCTATCTCATTATAATATTTTCAATAAGATGCGCAACTCCGTCGAACATTTCGTTGTTAATGCAAGCTTTAGAGTTTAGGACTATACTCTGGCGTATCTGGGAATATAAACATCCACAGTGTATACGTTCTCACATGAGTTCCGTCGAGTAACATTTCCTGTGTAGAATCTGCAGTGAAAATCCGCAACAGCCGCGCAACACAGCTTTTCCAACTCATTTCAATAGCTGCGCTTACGGCGCCTGCGACTCTCTATCGATATTTACAAGCGAAAGAACAGGCGTAAATATTCGACGAACAATATACGAGTGTACCTTGGCCAGGAAGATCACTCTGAAATTTATCGCGATCATAAAGGTGGAATTTATTCAATATTCTGATTTTACTTACAAAGGCAGCCGGAACCAGACGTGTTCTATAAGGTGTTGTGTACGATGCTTGTACTAGGCTCAATATTTTAATGAACAGCAATAGAAGGCAACCCTATGATCATTCTTAATAAGTAAGATTCATGCTCTACTTAGAAACGCTATTAAAAAACAACCTTAATTCACAATTAGAATGATATCAGTTTGTTCAAAGCGTGAATCAAACGTACAACTTATGTTTGCAAAGCCAACTTTACCAGAGCAATATTTTGAATAAAAAAAATTAACTTGGTTCGAAAAATTCCATCCAATTTTACCTAGTAATGTCAAAAACTACTTGCTTGTTTATTTTTTATCTGGATATGATGAAATAGAATTATTAATTGAGGGTGATAAGACAATATAATAAATATAAATCAAAATGAATTCACTTAAAATATATAGATATTAAAGAAATCGTTACAATTATTACACGGATAAGATCACTTTATTTAAGTGCCTAACATCAACTTGTACATTCATACAAGTTTTTGAAGGTAATTTGTGTTCAATTTTACCCAGGTCCTTCATGAAATAATATACAGCTTTTATTGGCGCTTCGTCTAGGAATGAATATTCTTTTGTTCAAAGGGGTTGGGCCTACAAATTCTCCGGTCGCCCCTGGCCAAATATATCAAATGCAAACCCAATATCAACGAATGGCACCTTCTTATTGCATTCATTCATACGTAACATGTGTTTGCTTATATTTCCCAAGCGTGCACTGCGATCTGTGCCCAAGAGAGCTCGCGAATGCAGTATTGGGGTACAGAACTCTTTCTTCTTCGTGATCTGCATACTTTGAGAGCCGGGATAAAAATATTAAGTCATAGAACTAAATTTCATATTAGCTAATTTAAAGTAAACCTAGTGGTGCATTTGCATCGCGTCTTAATGCAAATTGCTATAACCATAATTTAAGTTTTTTAAAAGCTTAATTTTAATGAAATTTTAGAAAAAATTGGGTTTATTTGATAATTTTGAATTTTTATGAAAATTCGGCTATTATGAAAATTTAGATTTGTTTTTGAAACTTGATTTCTTTTCGAAACTTTTGAATTTTTTTTGAATACTTTAAAACCTGTTAAAGTCAGTATGTCTCTGTTTGAACTATATAGTTTGTGACTAAGTTTCGTAGGAGCAACATCAAAAGCGTGTCGACCCAGGCGCTAAAGCACTGGGTCGACAAGCAGCATGATGGTTTGTTGTCGAAGAAACGAGGACAGTTTTGTTAGTGGTTCGACGCTTGCGCTTGGCTCCTTTATAATGAAGCCGGTATGGTAAAAATGCTCGACAACGGGCGATTTGTCATACCTTTTACTTCTGATTCAAGTTTCAAAGCTTTAATCACTACTTTATGGGATATTACTATACTATCCTATTATGAGATTACTTTATTGTATACGAGATTACGAAATTCAACGATATTCAACGAGATTCGAACGAGATTCATCGAGATTATTAATTACTAATATTTATTTCGTATAAAATATATAAAGATGATCATTTCTAATACTTCCCTTCGGCTCTCAGATTTTTATTAGCCGTTGTATCGCGCCGACACTCCATATTCGCGACCTGCCCTTTCGGCGTTGTTGTAGCAATGAGCATATTTTGTGTAGACGTAGGGGAGAGTTATATTTCGCGCTCTGGAGATCTTTTTCGCTCAAGTAATAATCTATATTACTAAACTTTTTTCTCTTATTAGAGAGCATAAGTGCTTTTCGCGGGTATAAAAAAAAACTCTTACGCTCGTAGTGAGATATAAATAGCTCACGGTGGCGATTCTTCATATTGACAAAAAAGATTTATTGGAACTTCTGAATGTAATATTTATATAAAAATAAACTCACTTTAATAGTGTAAAACAGATGATTGAACTAT